AGCTAACCAAGAATGCGCAAGCATACATCGCATGCTTTGAGACGCTTGCGCAGCTTGCCCTTGCAATGACCGCAGTAGCACGCATGCGCACAAAGCACTTTCGCTTCACTCTTCCAGCCGCCTCGGACAACACCTCCGCAGAATCAGGCATCAACCGCCTTTTCACGACCACCGAGCCGCTCAGCAACTTCCTGCAAATAGTTGCCGCATGGTCAGCCCATACCAACGTGCGCCTCGCACTTACACACCTCTCGGGGGAAAAGAACGTCTGGGCCGATGAGCTCAGCCGTAACCGCACCGCCTTGGCGCCTGCAGGGCACCAAAGGATCTGTACATGAGATCGCGAAGCTATTGCGCCGCACGAGGCCTTAAGGAGACTGACTGCCTGCTTGCCTTGCTCTGGTGCAGAGGCGTTGTACGCGGCAAGGCTTTCGGGGGTGGGGCTATGCATGCTGCCCCATGGCCCCGAACACACGAAGAGCTGCTCGACATGACGTTGCTCCTCTGGAGCTTCGGAGGCCGAGTCGGAGGATGCATGCTGCTGTGCCCATTCCTCCACTTGCCTGGCTTCTTCGTCATCTGAGAAAGCCTGCAGCTGCATGTGCACTGGGGAGTCTGGCGAAGCGGCAGGAGAGTCGGGCGCCTGGGGGGCCTAGCTCGTCTGCCGCATGTTCGGTGTTGCGCGAGGCTTGCATGCGCTCATGCCGGGATGCGAAAACCGACCACGGGCCTGAGACGATGTCGCCTGCCGAGAGGTGCTCTGAGGGCAATGCGGCGGGATGGACACCGGAGGCTCGGGAATGGGCGGCGCGCCTCCTCTGGACATGGACCTCTGAGGCCGCCAACCTGTGGCCAAGGAGGTGGCAATTGCACGCTGCACGCGGAGGTTGGCGAATGTATCATTGCGGGAATAAAGGCGTGCAGAATCGCTAAGCGTTCGTCCCTGCGAAGGTCCAGCTGAGCGGCGCTTGCCAAGGCGGTGCTTTTCATGCTGTGCAGTGTGAGGGCGAAGGCTTCACCAGGGGTGAGCGCGGCTGGCCCGCAAATGTCTGCGGATTGGGATGCCCAACGGATGCACAGGAGCGTGCGTGCGTAGCTTGCAGGCGCAATGTATGGCAAGGCGTGGCACTGCATGTCTGCACGCGGGAAGAGGAAATCTGGCTGGTTGCTGGCGTCTTGTTGGAAAGCTGGCAGCGATGAAATGCAGGCCAGCCACTGCAGCAGCCAGGATGTGTCTGCGGAGCGACCTGTGTAACCGTGCCAGGTGCATGCGAAAGGCTGCCCCGCTTTAGTGGTTTTGCTTGCGTATGCGACTGCATGCAGGCCTTGTGTGCTGAGCTGAAGCGTGTGCCAGCGCACGCGTTGAGCGTCCCCGAACCTAATGCTGGAGTGAATGCAGAGCAGCGCGGCACCCAAAACTAGTTTGGTTATCAAAGGTGCGTGCGGTGCGCAAAGGGTGCGCTCCCATGCTGCGACAAGCGCCGCCGGGATAGGCGTTGCCTCGCGTTTGTCGAAGGAGGCAATTTGCTTGCAGTATGATGCGACCAGGCTATTGCGCACGCATGCTTGCAAGGCTGCCCACTGGATGTGCTTTGCCAACCAGCGTAAAGATTTAACTGCAGAGCTGGCAGATGTGCGGTGCACTGCTCGATCCTGGTCTGCGCTGCTGCTGCATGCGTAGAGGAAGTCAACAACGAGCGAGACAGGCAATTGCTGCATGGGTGCGTGCGCTGCTTGGACGAAATCCGCAAATGCTGCAATTCGCAATGTAACGATAAAGCGTGCTAGCTGCAAAAGGTGCTAGGAGTTGCTTAAGGTGATGCTGTGCGTGCCAGGATGCGGACAAAATTGCGAACAGCTGGCAACGCTCGCCTACGAGGTTGACCAGCACGAGGAGCTGCGCTTGCATTTGCTCCCTTCGTGTTTCGGAGGCAGCTTGCGACGATGAAGCTCTGGGAACGCGGGCCTGCGGGAGCTTAAGTGCGGTGCTAGGTTGCGCAGGTGCCAGGCGCGGTGCCGGAGGAGGCAGGATTGGTTGGCTGTGCGACTGTGCAGGGCTGCCTGAGGACAGGTGCGGAATGCTCTTGGGCCTGGGCTTTGCTGAAGGCATTGGTGCGCCGCCAAGTTGCGACGCCGGAGGCCTGAGCGCAGTGCGCTTGCTGAAGACTGGCGGAGGCTTAGGGGTGCCCGGATGGTGCGAAGGATACTTGACTGAGAATTGCGGCTTAACTGAAATTGCTGACCCTGGGACGGCGAGGTCGGAAACTTGGTGTTTGGGCTTGCCTAAGCGGGGGACCTGAAGGGATGGACGATGCGATGGTGCCGTGCATTTTGCAGAGGTTGAAATGGGCAACGCTTGCTGAGAGGAGGACTCAATGAGCAGGAAGGAGTCTCCAGAGCTGGCCTGCGAGGATGAAGGTGCTGTGCGGCGATAGCGCTTAACCTGGAAGCCAGAGTGCTCTGCAGAGTCCTGATGCTTGGCATGCACTGCATAAATGTCAAAGGCTGCGAGCTCTTCTTCTGGGGGAGCTACTGGTGCTTGCATGCTGGCCTCTTCCGTTTCTGTCGGGAGAGCTTCTGTTGCTGTGCTCGCTGGAGGTGGAGTCGAGGACTGGCTGAAGACGGGCAACATACCATCGACAGTCGCAATGCAAGTAGAAATCCACTGCTTGCAAGTTAGATCTACCAGCCGGGTTCAAGAAGCGAAAAATCCAGGGCAGGATCCTAGGGGAGCTGAGGGCCTCCTCTACCAAGACAGGCCTGTTAACATGTGCCATCTTGAAAGCAAAACTGCGGACGCAAAGCGAATGCTGGCAAACTGAAGCGGGCACAGACAAAGGGCAAGGCAGGCGAGCGCGAAGCTGAGCTCGGCGCTGAGGATGTAGTGCACCTGGGCGGGCAGAACATGAGTGCAAAACGCTGGGTTAAGGTGAATGCGGAAGCCGGGCAGCTCAGTGCGAGAGACTTTTTCTCAGATCTTGCGGGTGCGAATGCAGTGCGTGCATGCAATGCTACTTGCCCTTGCCTGCGTTATCATCTGCCTTGCACAGACTGCAGGCGTGCGGAAAATGCATGTCCGTTTGGACATCATAGGGCGTAAAGTTGCATGCGGGGCGTCCATGCCTGCATGCGGCGCGTGTGCATGCGTATGCACATGCCCAATTATTGCGGCGGTTTTTGAAATAGGGGCGGGCGCCGCACCACTCGATCAGGTGCGATGCGATGCGCTTGCTTGGCACCAGGGGGAGGTCTTCCCCCCCTTGGTCGCTTGCGGGCGGTGAGCGCGACTGGTGCGTTCCAGTCTGGGCGCTGCGCCAGCGGGCTGCCGGGAGGCCACGGCTCCCTGTATGCGTTGCGGCGCGGATTGCTTGACTGTCGCCAGGGGTCATGGTCTGCATGTGCTCGAGGAGCGGTGTAGCGCGTCTGGTCCCAGTTGGTTTCAGCGACATGTCGTGCCATGAAGGGCGTGGCCTGCTCTGCGGTGCGTAGTCTGAGGGGCCCTTGCCTTGCGATGCGGGGTTCTGCTTGCCAGTGCCCTTATTGCTCTGCGAGGACTGCTTGCCTCCGAAAACTGCATGCGGCGCGGGAGTTGCAGGCTATCCGGCCAGTTTGCGGACGCTGAGGCGGTGTGCGATGCGTCTGCGGGGTCCTGGAAAGATACTGCGATGAGGTCGTGCAAGGGACCTCTGAGGTCGGTGCGGTTGCGGAGCGCTGTGGCAATGTCGTCGTCGCTGCAGCTTGCGAAGCAAATCAGTGCGGATTGGGCTGACAGCGAAGCATCCATGGTTGGCGGGGGTAAAACTTAGAGGATCGGGTAAGAAAGGAATTGCGGTGAAGCCCTACAGGGGTAGGTAGTTAGGGCCACTGTGTGGCTTATGCCAGGGAGGCCCCTTGAGGGGTGCTTAGAGGGTAGGTGCGCGACTGCTAACCTGTCAAGTGCAATGTGGAAAACCCAGCTGGCTGGGGAGTTGAGCCAAGTTGGCTTAGACCAAACAAAGCTGGCTGTGCGTCAATCCTCAAGGTCAGCTAGTGCGAGCCGGTCGTAGAAGCTGAGGTGGGCGCTTGCTTGCGGCAGCGCGACTGCGGGCGCGAGACGTACCTGTGGTGCAGTAGAGTCATGCGGACCCAAACTGTGTAAAGGGGGGACACCGCGAGCCGGCTTGCGGAAAGGACCTGGCCGAGGCAAAGGTCGATGCCAAGCATGCGGCTTGAGAATCGGAGCTGAGGATGTCACCCACTGCATGCTTGCGGCTGCTAAGTCCTCAAGGAAAAAAGGCTCAAAGTGCGGAGCTAGCCTGCGGCAAGTAAGTGCGTACGAGCCCTGCCTCTGCAACTTGCGGTGCGTCAGGGCCTGGCATGGCAGCAAACAAGAAAGAACAAGCTGAATTCTGAAAAACATGTCAGAATAGCGTGGGGTCATCTGAATCTGCGATATGTGCCCCTAGAACTTGCAGTGCGTGTCCCAAGCGTCTGCGGAGCTGGACCACGTTTGTATTTGCTTGCGTGAGCATGTCCTGAAGCTCGTTGCTGCTGATGCGGCGCAAGCGCAGGTCTGCTTGCACGTCCGTGATGCGTTCATGCGCGTTATGCGTGCTATTTTCCAGTTCATCAATATGCCTTGCGCTGCGTTGGTCAAGGTTGCTGACTT